ACTACTACTACTACCATCACTACTACCACTATTACTACTATCACTACTACTACCACTACTACCACCACCACTACTACCACTACCACCACTACTACTACTACCACCACTACTACTACCATCACTACTACCACCACTACTACTACTACTACCACCACTACTACTACTACCACCACTACTACCATCACTACTACTACTACCATCACTACCACTATTACTACTACCATCACTACTACTACCACTACTACTACCATCACTACTACTACTACCACCACTACTATTACCACTACCACCACTACTACTACCACCACCACTACTACCACTACTACTACCATCACTACTACCACTATTACTACTACCACCACTACTACCACTACTACTATCACTACTACTACTACCATCACTACTACCACTATTACTACTACCATCACTACTACCACCACTACTACTATCACTACCACCACTACCACTGCTACTGCTACCATCACCATCACTACTACACCACTATTACCACTACTACTACTACCATCACTACTACCACCACTACTACCACTACTACCACCACTACCACTACCACCACCACCACTACTACTACCACTACTACCATCACTACTACTACTATTACCACCACCACTACTATCACTACTACTACCACTACTACTACTACCACTACCACCACCACTACTATTGCTACTACTATTACTACCACCGCTACCACTAGTACTACTACCTCTACCACTACCGCTACTGTGAGCCCCCTCCTCCCCCAGCACAGCTCAGGGCTTGACGTGTACTTACCCGAAAAGCAGAAAGCGTAGGTGGATTCCGTTCTAGTTGCTGTTCTTGGCCCCCAGGCCGTGGACCGAGCCTGCCTCACTCTCTGCTACCACTCCTGGATCTGTGGATCTTCGTTGGCAGGACATTCTCTCAGGTCCCTCTTCTTCGAGGGAAATGAGGTCCTGGCTCCCCTACTTTCAGTTATGGTAATGTCTGGCTGTGTAACACAATTGCTATCTCTATACTTAGGCTGACACCACATGGTTTTTGCTTCCATATACATTTAGTAGCTTTTGAGATTCCTCTTCTGTCTGTAAATCTGACATGTTAATGATTACAGTTAGAAAGGCCTGTTTACCTCATCGCCTCCTCCCACAGATCAAACCCATCAGCAGCCATAGCAGCGAGGGTGAGGAATAACGTAAGCCAGCTTCCTCTGACTCCTCACAGCACACAAGACCGAAAACACAGCTGTGCAGTCTTCGTCCGGCTTAGAACACAGTGGGATGATAACTAAGACCCCATGTGCTTTCCAATCACATCTCCCTATATTCTTATGAGGAAAATCAGTGTTTGAATTAAGGTGTATTATTCCCATTCAACTCTTTACACCTTTCCTGTCATCATTTCCAACTACTGGCCCACTGCTGTCCTTTACCACATAGCATACAATTCAGACTTCTAGACCCACGGTTTCTTCAAGATCTACAAAGCCTTGACACCGTTGTGACTAGAGAGGAATATCTACACAAGTCTCTGGGTTGAGCAGCTCTCTCCCAGGAAAAGGCAGAAGCTAACTCTATGCAGCGTAGCTTGTCCTTCACGTCTTTCTGGTCTGGACGTGGACAGGAGGTGACCCTACCGTCACCGTGCAGTGAGGAAGGGGGCCTCGACGCACCCACGGCAGAGCCACCGCCCTGCTCCTGGTTGTGTGGGCAGACCCCTCCCGAGTCAGGCTGGCCATGTGGATCCCTTGCTACGTCAGGCAAAGACTACATCTCATCAAATCTAAGACGTTCCTGATTTTAAGACATGCTGTTCTTCTGCTTGCTTCTAAGAATGAAAAGAATAACGCTGATCATTGTACGATAAAAGTTTTTCTTCACACTGATTTTAAATGATGAGCTAACTGTATCTAAGGACATGGGTTAGGACACACGTTCCTGAGTCTGGGAACTCAGAAACCCTTTAGTTGGGGTTTCATATACTTGCGCTCAAGTCCTCTACTTGATACCATTCTGTAATAAGTAGATTTACATTAGATCGGTGCATCTGCAAGCAGAGAAGGACAAAAAACAGGCTGTGCTGAGAAACCTTTAGCTCTAGGCCTGGAATCCAAGACAGGTTCAGGCAGAGATGTGTGGGACTGCTCACTGACAGGTTTATTCCTTGCCCTTCCCTGTGTTGATCTGTGTGACGTGTTCTGGCTGAGGCCCACATGTGAGCAAGTCTTTTCCTGGTGTCTCACACCCCCTGCCTCAGTGCCGCCTCCTGGCAGCCAGCCCAGCCCAGGCTGCAGTCTGCACAGTGCACTGGCCTCCTGGCCCTGGCCTGCCACTGAGGAGTGCACATGGCTTCCTCCTTTGTTGTCCTGGATGCCCTCTCCAGCCTCTACTTGGCTTCCCAACTTCCCATGCCTGTGCAGTCAGCCCCTTGCTTGGAGGTATCTCTGATCTTGGAATCTACGAGGTGGGTTTTGTGTCCTTGCTCAGAAATCAGAGTTGGCTTCCGAGTCCTCATCTAAAGCTCCTGTACACTGTGTCCGAGGTGGGCGAAGGTGACTGCTTGGTCACTCCCCAGGGGACGGGGTGTCCATTGGGAAATGCAGCTGCTATGCGTGGGTTTTTAAAGACGTCTTTCCTTGCCAGCCACTGATTCCAGTGCTCAGAGGCAGGACTCTTCCGTCTTCTTGTTCAGAAGGGTGTGATCTAGCTATCTTCTACCCATCTCTCTCTCTCTTTTAATTTGTGTGCATGTTATTTTTATTGATGCTGATTTTACTTATTTACTATCTTCTAGGTTCTTTGGCACAAGGACGCATTTCCCCCCCAAAATATGTCCTTGGAATCGCCAAGTGGTCAAATGCCACTTTTACTACTGTTCCATTAATAATGGTACTAAAGAAGAGAATGTCGGGAGGCACTGGAACCCTATAGTGACATCTTTAGACAGCAGGAGAATTTGGAATGGATGTTCTTACCTCCACAAAGGCCTACCTTTCTCTCGCCTTTCTTGATTGATGAAGGGCATTAAATGTGTTCCTGAATCCTGAACCTGGCTCGCTCTGCCAGGTCTGACCAAATGCAACCAAGAAAGCCAGGCAAGTGACCACAAACATGGAGATGCAGGCAGTGTTTCCTCAGAACTTAGTAGCCAGGCAAACCCATCTATACTGACAAGAGACAGGCCAGCATTTCATGAGTATAGGAAGATTCCTATAGGATAAATTTGCCTTCAAACACTCACTGATATTAACAGTTCCCAGAACTTTCTGTAATGTAATAAAATATTGTTGTTGATTAAAAGTATGACCTCATTCAAGAAAACCACTTCTGAGTTTTTTAAACTATTTTTTACACATAAAGTCACACACAATACAAAATGCTTGTTTTACAAGTTGAAGTCGTTACAGATATGGGTACAGTTACAGCAGTGCAGGTGTATTAGTGCATTCAACTGAGCAGTTATTTATCATCATTGCATTTAACATAAAGCTAAGAATGAATCATTTAAGTTGATTTCTAGTCTCTGAATCAAAAAAATAAAGAAAAATATTTCTATCTCCTGTTTAATATGTCAGGATGATAAACAATGTCTACATTTAAGTAGTCTGGTATCTGTAAATGGGAGATTGTATTCTAATAGCTTTTAAGTCATAAATCGTTAAGGTTCTGACTAAATATCTCCATCAAATTGTCATTATCTCAGCTTTCAGGAAAATTACCTCATCTTTGGTAATAGGCTGCGAACAAACAGAAACTATAGATTACACCATTTTATTCCAAAGAATCCTGTATTTTAATGAATAGCTGAATAAATAGACATTAATTATGAAATTCACATTAAGATAGAAGAAAATTCAAACATTCTGGTTGCCTTATCTTTTAAATTTGACAGCTACTGCAAACACACTGTTAATGTTAGGGTAGAAATCATCTGAATTACAGAAGAGTAGCTGGGAAATGCTGGCAGATATATACAGTAACTGGGAAGAGCCACAGAATAAACGTGTTTATATGTACATTATTTTTCCTCTCTTTGTGCATGGAGAAACACTGTTTTATAAAATGGAAAAACACACAGTAGGCTACATGCAAAAAGGACTGATATAATTGTGCACAGAGGAGTAATCGAATCAGACATGAGAACTGTGGGCTTAATAACGAACTTGGAGCAGGAAAAAGCAAAGGTAGGGATTGAAACTGGGAATGCTTTCTCACTGAGGTTCCAGAATATAAATTTGTTTAATGATTCTCTTGAGAGTTTCCAGAAGTTCCTACTTGGCCAAGTATGGTTTAAGCTAAAAATAAACTGTCATATTATACAAAACTTTGTGTATTAGCATACAAAAGGTAACAATTTACTTTTTGTATAAAATATAACCTTTCGATAGTATATTTATTTCACATATGTATAAATATAACCCAAAGAATATGTTTTAAGTATTTTCTACCAAAATATTCTTTACAAAAGTGTACAAAACAAGTAATTCATTTGTATTTACAAATTAGCACAGAAAAGACCCTGGCCAGTACCCTGGGTGCTGGTCGGAGGGGACCGCAGCCTCCAGGCGCGGCATGGAGACTCAAAGACTGGGCATGGCAGAACTCAAAATGTGTTTCTGTTTGTAATTTGAACTGATACCAAAAGACGTGGGTTTTAGATGGCTCCAGTTAAATTGCATTTGGTAGTTGAAAATGTAACTAGAAGGTGGAGCACAACTTTTGCTGTTCTGTAGGTAGGAAAACGAGAGCAGCACTCTGCATAGAACCCACGTCAGAACATCTTCCTTGGTGCGTGGGTGCTGAGGCTAAATGTGCTACCAAAATTCTGTTTCTTTTTTTTTTTTTTGTCGGTCACAGGGCTTGAACTCTGGGCCTGGGCTCTGTCCTTCAGCTCTACAACTCAAGGCTAGCACTCTACCACTTGAGCCACAGGGCCACATCTGGTTTTCTGAGTGGTTTATTGGAGATAAGAGTCTCAGGCCTTTCCTGCCTGGGCCGGCTTTGAACCACGATTCTCAGATCTCAGCCTCTTGAGTAGCTAGGTTGACAGGCGTGAGCCACTGGTGCCTGGCCAAAATTCTGTTTCTGACAAACATGGCACTCAGCCCTCAGAGGGAGAAAACCTGGGCGTGGGGAGATCAGGGAGCACACAGAGAGGTCTCACTGTGTCAGGCAGAGACACGGGCGTAGACTGACACTTTGTGGCTCTGCAGCCAAGCCCAGAATACATCCAAAGAAGGAACGATCATTTTCTTCTCTCAATTATTCTTTCCTTTAAACTCCACGAAAAAAGATTGCCCCCGCTCACACCTGCCATTCCTGTTTCTTGCCTCTAGTCAACACATGATGCTTTCTAGTCGCAGCTTGGGCCTTCACTTTCTTTCCTTACAAACCAGTTTCTGGTCATCAAAAAATGACAAAGACAATGCTCCATTTCCCTCAGCTTAGGAACTGGCCAGTGGGTGCCAGTCCTAATAAGTAAAGCTTCAGCTGTTCATGGCCCCATGGCTCTCTTTGACGGTATTCTGGCATGGATGGGGAGAGGTCTTGGTGTCTGAAGCTCAGACAGGAGTAGGCTCAGAGGCGGGCTGTGGGGTCTGAAGCAGGTCTGCTGCGCTGCATCCCCCTTCATCACTGGCTATCGATCCTACTGTAATGTGGCACATGTGAGGAAATGAAGATGGGGGGGGGGGTCTAGGGAAGGGATCCCACACTCCACCGGTGTTTTCTAAGTGTGCTGGCCATCCTTTCTTTCCCAAATAAACCCATCACATTTTGATATGTTCTGCAAGCCTTATGAAAATTAAATGACAAGACAGTGGAAAACTAAACCACACTCACTCACCTATGAGAGCAAATTAAGGAATGTGTTGCTGTTGAATGGAACTAGTACCTCCTGGTGACGTGGGGTTTAAACAAGCTACACGCTCTGTTTTACTTCTTACACAACGACACATCCATAGGACAGTTCTGTTTGGGTCCACTGGGTGACACGCTCCCCGGTTTAGACCGGAAAGTGAACCCAACGTGCTGCTTTCAGGTTTCAGAGTCTGAACAAGAATTTGGATCAGACTCTTCAGAATGGCTCGCGTGTGTGCGGCAGGCTTGCGCTCGGCCTGGCCCGGGGTGTCCTTCTCAGCCTGCTCCCGAGGGCTGGGGGTCTGCCACCCGCCGCCCTTTCCTCAGGAGTTGCTCCCCAGGATCTCGTCAAGACTGATGTCCTTCATCCAGTCATCGTGGCCAGCCTCTGTCCTCAGCAGAGAGTCAATGAAGTCTACGTCGCTGTCCAGTGCTGGGCCCACGCTGTCGGCCTGCCGGCCGAGGAGGTCAAAGGCCAGCTCGCTGACCTGCTCACTGCCCTGGAAAGCGCTGGAGCTCTGGTCCGAGGAAGGAAAAGCACTGGGAGTCAGAGGTGGCAGCTGGCTCATGCTGGTCCTGGGCAGATTCAACCCTGCCCCTGCTGGGGTCAGATTAGACAGAGCCTGTGTGCCAAGCTGCCCGGGTCTGACACTCAGGCCCCTGGCGGGGGCCACGGTCTGTCCACTTAGCGTCTGCCCCATCTGGCTGGCAGGCCTCATTTGCACTGTGGGTGTCAGCTGGCCTGGCGGGGCCGCTGTCCTCTGGGGAGGCTGCAGAGACTGACCGGGGGCATAGGCTGCGGGGAAGCGCCCTCCCGCTACCCCCAAGGGCACCTGCTGGCTGGCTGTGACTCCTGGAGAGGCCCAGGTCCGTGTGGCCCTGTGGGGTGTGGCCACCCCATTGGACGCCGATGCCGATGCCGATGATGATGCCGACGAGGAGGACGATGCCGACGATGATGATGGTCTCTGGCCGGGCAGGCCTGCCATAGTGTGGGTTAGATTTGGTCTCAGTTGTGAATTGCCAGCAGTCCCAGCTCCAAACCCAAGGGCCCTGGTGGCCACATCGCTGCTGCTGTTTGGCCCTAATGTTGACGGCTGTGGCAGCAGAGGGTTGCTTGGGTTTGCTAGCAGTTGGTTTGGATTTCTCTGTTGGGTCAGCTGATTCATGCCGGGCGAGGGGCCGTAGGTGCCAGGCTGGCCGCAGGGCAGACCTGTGCACACCCCTGCGCTGTGGGCTGCCGTGGGCAAGGATGGCGCTCTGGTCGCATGGGAAGCAGACATGAGGCTGGGGTTTTGATTTAAAATGGCGTGTGTTGAAACTGGGTTTGTCAAAGCCTGGTTAGAGTTTAAACTCACCGAGGATGAGCCACCTAAGAAAGAGAAAATAATTATACCTGTTCATAACAGTCTTCTATAGCAACTTCTAGTTCAGGAACAAGAGAAATGACCATTCAACATATAAAAGGAATACGTCAGCTTTTGATGGGAAGGCCCACCCTTGGTCACTCCTTGATGAAGTTTACATGGAACACAAAGAAGCTAAAGTGGAATGGGTTTAATGTAATAGGTTTCACATTTTTCCTCTTCTTTTTTTTTTTTAGGTCTGATATCAGGACTTGAACTCAATACCTGACACTTTCTCTCACTGTCTAGCACTATACCAACTGAGTCATGCCTCCAATTCCTCTCCCCAGTTCTGGAGCCGCTGAGATATTATTGATTAAGCTTGCATTTAGAATGAGCTTTTCTATATGCTGAGCCCAGAGACTGTGTAGATTATCTGCTGGCCAGGGAATCTGGATCATTCAGCAACTGTATATGAGATGCAGGCTTCCTGCTCTATCTTCCTGTTGGTGGCCGTGGAAATCCACACCTCCTTTTTCATCTGAAGCACCCTCATTTCAGAAGCTGCCAGGGTCCACAGGGCAAAGGCCTGGTGCCCTCCACAGTCCGGTGATTTCCATCCATATGGAAAGCTGCTACACTGCTTTGCTATGGAAGCCACCACCAGCCATACTTCCTCTTGCCATTTCTCTTATCTTAATCTCAACCCTCTTTTAAAGTCTCAGGCCAAGGCTCAATTGCATCTTCACGCTTTTTATTTACTCCTGTCTCATATTTTCTCTGTGAGTCTTCCGTGTGGCACGGCGCACTCCACAGCACCAACAGACCTGTCCGTTAACCCGATGCCGGTCACTGGTGGGCCAGTGTGGGACGTGGATGAGTGACGCGCCCTTGAACTGGACACGCCCTGCCTCTAGGCAGCTACAGCCACGGTCAGAAATACTTAGAGAGGCAAAAATGGAGCCCCAGGAAGAGGGGGACGTGCCGGATAGGTGGGGAGTGCCGGCAGGGAAGGTGCTTCTGCTGTGCGTGCAGTCATATTTCCTGAGTCTAGTGGATGGCGTGGAATTGTTACATAACTGATACGCCTCGATGAACGAACGAACGAATGAATGAGATTAAAGCAAAGAAAAGCTTAGGGAAAGATGCTTTTATGAAGGAAGGTGGGTGGGCCTGGAGGATGAGAGACTGAACTAGAGAGCTGTCTACCCTGGGAGCTGCAGGATGTCAGTTAGAAGAACAGCATGTCTACAAACGCTGCCTGGGCCTAACGACCACACTACAAGTGTCACTTGCTGTCTGCAGGTGGATGCACACTCTCGTAGCCCTGGCATCTCTAGTCTTCCCATGGCCGTGCATCTTGCAGATGCTTCCAGAAGTGCGGTAAAGAGGGACCAGGGAAGAGAGCTGGAGCGACAGCTGAGCGTACACACAATGCCAACGATCTAAACAACAGCATCTTTATATTTTAGGGTCTCCCGAAAAGAGAGTTTATACTACATAAATGCTACAAGGAATCAGAAAAGTTATCTCCCTAGTTTCAAACAATACCCCAAGAAGCTGTTGGTGGTGGTGGTGGTGGTAAGGTCTTTCTGTGCAGAGTAGGATAGGCTCAAACCGGAAATTCTTTTGCCTCAGCCTCCCAAAAGCTAGGATTTCAAATGGGCATCACCAGACTGGTTGAGAACAGCTGTTTTCCACAAAGATCACAAAATAGTAGCACTTTACATCATAAGTTGCTCACATGACAGAAAGCATTAACTGTTCTTGGTAGTTCTTTCCAATATTAGCCTCTATAGGAAAGGTGGTTCTCATGGTACCAACAAATATAACAGCATCTCTCTGAGGACCATCAAATAGAGAACGGCATTTTTACACAGAGGCAAAGCGATCTTAGCGGCTGCATCACAGCCCGGTCCCGATTGTAGGGAGGAGACAGCCAGTCCAGCAGAAGAAGTTTCAAAACAGAGCGACCTATACCAATTGCACTGAACAGGACCCGAGAGCAAACCGCCTTTCCTTCCTTAGAGAACTTCCGAGCGGTGTCATTTGTCCTTGTGCCTGCCGACTGTCCGTCTGTGGGCCCAGCCCTGTCTGTCTGCCTCTCACCCCGCAGAGCCGGTTTCCCTTCGCCTCCCCAGAATTGCTCAACCGCTCTCTTTAAGGCTCCTCAGGTTTTCAGACCTTGTTGCCACGTATCTCAAACTCACTCACCTTTATCCCTCTTTTCCCCCTTTCCCCTTCTCCGAAGTAGTCTTTATTAGACTTGTGTTCTATGCTTACCTTTATGACTTTCTTGGTAGATGGGGAACAGGTAAAACAGGTAAAGGAAAGTTGGGAGGATAAATAAACATAAAAAATAAACATAAAAAAGTACTGGGAGCGGAGGCGGCCGGGAGGCTCAGTAGGGTCTCCCAGGAGAGCAGCTGGAAGGAGATCTGTTTTTCTTTTGCGAAGGGTGGGGTGGGGAGTCCTGTTTGTCACTTATTTTATAGTGGGAAAGGTATCAAAGACGTTTTTCTTTGTGATGTGAAAAGAGCCACCTCTGTTGCTCTGGGGGAGTTTACTGAAATGTGTTTACTGTAGAACTGTAAAAGTTCACTATTCTCTGGCAGTAGCACTATTGGAAAAGAAGCCTTTCAAGAGGAGGCTTTCTGTGACCTGTGCCTCTGCTGAGCCCTGTCCCCCCCCACACCTGGGCCAGGCCACCTGCAGGGACGGTAGGATGGGCAGCGGAGGCCTGGCTCCAGCCAGAGCCACCCAGAGGGAGACACTCACCCGGGAACTGGGCTGCCGGCAGGAGGCTGCCCACGTTTCTTCTTTGGTCTTTGTAATCTGGGGGCAGCCTTGTCAAATGTCGGTTTATCTGCTCTTGTGGTGTGATTTTCTCCTTAAGGACAAAAATGAAAATGTATTAAAATTGTACCATTACCTCTCCACTTATAAAAATTTATGAGTTACTCAGAAAAGTAAAAGTATCAGAACAATTTTGTGACCACTGGGTGTCAATCATAACCTTATTTAGTTGTGATAACTCAGAGATGCATCTTTTCCTACATGGAAGTGTTTCTACGTCTGCACAACATTCCACACACTGCCGGGCCCTGGGAGACCCTATATGTGTACTTCCTCTTTTTTGTACCCCCATAATCAAGCCTCCAAGGTAAGCAGGCTTATTTTCAATTAGAAGAAGAAATGGAGGCTTCCTTAGGCTCGGTGACTTGCCCATGGTCACACAGTGAAAGAACAGAGTGGAAAACTCAGGTTCTTTCCTGCCACCACACAGGGCCAGGCCCCTGGCTGGTGATTCTGTGTTCCTTCTAATATCTCAGACTGTCCTGGTCTCCACTGTTTCCCTTCTCAGACACCTTTCGATCGTTACAATGGATGTGTGGAGTTAAGAGATGAATTTAGGAAAGTCTTTTAATGTTGCACCCCCCCCCCCCCCCGCAAGGTCCAGGACGCCCAGGCTGCTCTCACTGACAAGGGAAGAGCACCCCCTGGACAGGTTGTCTCAGACCTTAGAAACTACCACAGCATTTAGGCTTTGGATGATTTAGCAACGGCCTGAGGCAGTGGAGATTTTCTAGATTGAAAACTGTCAGAAAGTGAGTTTGACTATACTCTTCAGTAAAGTAGTTACTGCCTATTTAGCACAAGAGGGTGATGTCTTGTATTTGGGGAGTCATACACACCATGATCTATTTTTAGACCAAATTATGAAGTGGCCATATCTTCTCTCACTTTATCTTGGTATCAGGGTCACCCTACCAGAAGTTGCTATGTTGTAAGGTCGTTTATACTCAACAGAGAACAAAACGACTTGGCCATGAATGTCAGATCACTCTGGACATTAAGACTGTTTTTTTCTTTTTCTTTCTAATTCTTCACGTGGGTCATAAAGTTTTTGGAATTGCTGCACTGCAATTCTTCTATATGCATTCAAAGCAACTGCCATTTTCAAGTTAAAAATAAGCATATAAGCCAGGCTCTGGTGGCTCACACCTGGAATCCTAGCTACTCAGGAGGCTAAGATCTGAGGATCACGGTTCAAAGCCAGCCTGGGCAGGAAAGTCCATGAGACTCTTATCTCCAATAAACCATGAGAAAACCAGAGGTGGAGCTGTGGCTGAAGCTGGTGGAGCACTAGCATGAGCAAAAGATCTCAGGGACAGTACCCAGACCCTGGGTTCAAGCCCATGACCACCATGAACAAAAAGAGTAACTGCATAGGTAGAGATAATGGTGTACTTAGGGGAATTTTGATTAACGGAAAACTGTGCCATCAGCAGAGCTGGCTGTGTTGTGGGGGCTCAGTCTGTGCCTCCTCCGTCTGTGCAAGTGTATTTCTCCGTATTCCTTACTTGAGAGCGAGTCAGTCTGTTTCCCACTGTCTCCCTTCCTCCCAGCAGACTCCAGTCACCATTCCTTTAGAAACATCTCTGGTCGTGATAGTATGCTTCATACTTGGCGCACGTGTGTGTGTGTGTGTGTGTGTCTGTGTGTGTGTGCACGCGCGAGCGTGTGTGTGTCTGTGTGTGTGTGCCTGTGCGTGTGTGCGTGCGTGCATACATATGTGTATTCTTGGAATCAAACCTTCAGCCTCACACATGCTCGACAAGCGTTCTGCCACTGAGCTTCACTCAGAGCTTTTATTTTTCCTTTTTCTTTGTACTTTGACTTCATTAACTTGGAGATGTTCAACTTGTTTCATTTGACTAAAACGTTTAAAGGGAGAGAGTGAGGGGCTGGAGGGGTGGAGGGGCTTGGGCGGAGTTCTGTGTGTGGTCACGGGAGTGTGCTGATGAGCAGACAGGCCTGGAGCAGGATTCTTGGCTAGTATTTGTGAACTATGACCTCGTCTTTCTTAAAAGGCCACACAAATAGAGTGAAAATGGAAAATATATGTTCATATTTTCTTTAAAAAGGGCCTTTCATCCTGAGTCTTGGCTTTGTCCTCAGTTTGGGTCTGTGTGGCTCGGAGCCTCTCAGGGCTGGGAGTGACACCGGTTTGCTCTGCTCTGCTCCTGTGTGGGGCGGGGCTGTCAGAGGCTGGCAAGTCAAGCTTTTCTGTCTTTGTTTTCTGCAACACTGAGCATAAGGGATTTGTCTCTCTTACAGCTAGGATGTGCTGGTTGCGGTCTCATAAATAGGGAGAGAGCAAAGGACTAACTAGAAATGGAGGAGAGTGGCTTCCTATGTGGGGCAGACAGGGGCAGGCAACAGGAGGCGGGTGTGAGCCTTACCGCGTCGGCCAGCATCTGCTGCTGGAGAAGGAGTTGCTGCTTCTGCTCCGCGATCTGTTTCTGCAGCGTCTGTTTCTTCCCCATCAACTGCTGATTCAACAAGGATTGCTGGGAGTTCATGTAGCCACTTCCAGTGTTTGGATTCGAGCAGGAGTTGGGAGTTGGACTGGGGCCCGTGTTCTGGCCCACCACAGAGTGTTGATCCTGAAGAAGAGAAGGGGGGGCGGGCAGTGGATTGTGAATTAAAAGAAGGAAAATGAAGCACAAAAAACAAATCCTTAGATTACAAACATTTTTCCCAGTGTCAAAGTTCAAGCATGGCTAATGGGTTGGACATCAGGGACTTGCTTGCAAAATGTGGAAGAAACAACTGCGTGTAGCAGCAACAGAAGCAGGCGGGGTACTGAAGCTGGGCCATCAGATAGCTCCACAAGACGCAGGGTGGAATTTCTACATTCCAGAAGGCGCTTATGGAATCTCAAAGAAACAAAGCACACAAACATAGGCATGATTTCAAGAACAAACACACAATAACAAATTCTTCTTTTTTACCCTAAACTTTGCATGTATTATTGTTAATGATGTTTTAATTCATGAATTTAAAGTTGAGTGTTTCTAGCAGAAGGCATTTATGGAATAAAAGACCACACAATTCACCGACAATGAGAAAGCATTGATTAAACACTCAAATTGCACAGCCAGACATCAGTGGCTCACACCTATAATCCTAGCTACTCAGGAGGCTGAGATCTGAGGAGCACAGTTCTAAGACAACCTGTGCAGGAAAGTCCACGAGAGTCTTATCTCCAATAACTTACCAAAAATGCTTGAAGTAGAACTGTAACTCTAGTGATAGAGAGCTAGCCATAGCAAAAACATCTCAGGGACCACCCAGGCCCCGAGTTCAAGCCACAGGACAGGCACAACAACAAAAAAAATCAAATTGCATATACAATAACTTTGGATAAGAGGGTGCTAACCATGAAGACCCTTTGGGCAGAAAGCTCTGGCCAGTCAGGTATTCTCCTTGATTCTCAGCAATGTGTTGGAGTGAGCTGACAGACAGCTGTGGGTACAAGAAGACTAGCAAACATGGCCCTCATCTTGGAGAGTTTATGGTCCAGTAATGAACAAAAAAATCCGCCTGAACATATAAACCCTAGAAATCATAAAACCACATTTTTGCTGGTATGGCACAAGCACGAAGCTGAAGCTCCGACCTCTGAAGACAGCCTTCTACATAGCGGCTGTTCTGCTGAAGTCCTGCCCGGCTGCCGGCAGAACAGGGCACTGCTGAGGTGACTCAGAGGACGCACTGAGAGAGGCAACAGACCCACCTCCGACCCCCTGCACGGGTACGTGTACAACAGAGAAACCGGTCAAGCGCTCTCAGGACACCTGTGGTCATAGGATCATGGGATGGAATGCTCATATGTGGAAATTCTGTTTTTTCCTCAAGTGTACAAAAAAAAAAAAAAAAAAAAGGAAAGAAAGAAGAAGAAATCTTGCCAGCAGTGGTCATCCACACACCTATAATCACAAGGCTAAGGCAAGTTCCAGGCCAGCCTCGGCTCTAGACGAGATCCTATCCCAACCTCCCTCCATTTTACCGCCTGAAAAACAAAAGCCAGCAGTCTGAAACTTGGCAACTTGGCCCTGGTATGTCCCATTGAGTGCTCTTAATCTGTCTGAATGAAGAAAATGCTGAGTTCGTCGCACAGGATAGGCCTGCTCATGTACTCGTCCTAAAACAACAGTTACTGTGTGATTATGACCAAGCTCCAAGGAAACCTAGAGACTGTGGACGTGGCTTTCTCTTACACGGCTTTGTTCCAGGGAGAGGAGACAGGTCTCAGCCGGAATCGGGGCAGTGCCAGCCACAGCCCAATTCCATGCCCACTGGAAAACCCTGCTGGCCTTAGTTTTCAGGTTGTACACCCGCACTGCTGGTGGGAAGCTTAGTTCTGGTCTGAAGGATGTTAGGAACCCGCTTGGTGAGTCCTCTACATAATATCCAAAGCTTAAGGCTGGAGATGATCAAAACGTGGGCACAAGTAGACGTGTGCATATGGATGCATGTTTTAATGTACAGAAAGTCTCCTTCCCCAAGATTATTGCATGACGGGTTTGGTATCTTGACCCTGGAAGGCCACAGAAGCATGGGAGGTTAAATTTACTCACCAGGGTAAATTAGGTACTGAAACCTGATCGAGAAGAAAGGGAACATTTGAACTCTTCCAAGGGGCATTCTTTTTTCTTCGACACAAAGTGCCAGTTATTAACTGTGTCTTCCCCAAAAGGTGATTTGAAATACTTTTGAATAAAATGTCAAAATGAAAAAATTTAGAACAAACGCATCATCTCAGCCTTTCCGGCTAGTTCAGTTAATTTAAAATTCTATGATAAATATTTAAAGAGATAGTTTATATAAGGAAACTCTTGTAAATATCAGTAACAAAGCGTGTGGGAGAGGCCTGGCCATTGGGTCCTCCTTTGATAAAGTCTCTGTAAACCACAGTCATCTGTGAGCTCCTTCAGGAGGACCCCTCTCCTTCATGTTGTAATGCGAGGGTCTACCAGGCAGGACTGATCTGAGCACAGGACAGGACAGTCCTGAAGTATCAGCAAAATAATCTCCATTTTGCTGGAGGGTATGAAATACTGGGACTTGGAATTTGTTCCACCTCACGGTTAAAGCAGCTTTGTGGGCTAAGCCGCGTGTCACAGTCACTTCCACGAGGAGTCAAAGTTTGGGGCTTGGATTGTTCTCGTTTCTAAAATGAATTCTAGAGAGTATTTGTGTTCTGCTAGGCTCCTGGGGAAAACGGCTCTCTGTTTCTCTTGTTTGGAAAGGGGAATATTTAATGACACCTCCCTCCCCGCCCCTTCCCCCCCCACCCCAGAAAATGAAGTAATGAAAATTGCTGAGATCCAAGCGAGTGGTTTGGCCCTTGGTTTTTTTTGGCTTCCAAAACCAGGCATCTGCAATTTGCAAAACAAATCCAAGATGCAGTACCCAGTGGGGCACGTCTGTACGTCCATCTCACAAACGGGCGTGCAGTCCATCCATCTTTTTGCTTTCCTCCCTTCTTCACTGGTCTCCATGCCTGACTGTTCCTGCAGGCTATTCGTGTTCTGGGCGGTCTGCGAGTTCTCTCTCTCTCTCTCTCTCTGCCTTAACTGTTTCACTTCTTCCACACGCGAGGAGGCCCTCTTGCTTTAGAGTCGCTATTGGGGGCACAGGTGGTCCGCTAGTTGTGGATGACTGAAATAACCAGAAGCTCCTCCCAGTGAGAGGAGAGGGATTCGTCGGTGGTTTGGGAGTGAGCCTGGGGACAGAGCTGCAGGGCTGTCTCAGGGCTTCAGGCCTTCAGGGCCAGCAAACGATGACACAGTGATCCAAGTCTGGCCTCCACCTTTTCTGGTCATTAAGATGACATTCGCTTACTTATTGTCTGTGCAGCTCTCACACAACAACAAACCAATATTTGTGGTGCACACCTTACGGCTCACAAAGCTGGTAAGACTTGCTGTCTGGCCGTTTGCAGTGCGTTTGTTGACCTCTGCTCTATTTCTATACTGCCATGTAGTGCTAGATAGTTTCTTTTACACTAGCCTGGAGGAAAAATGCCATTGAGAAAGAACCCAGAAATTCTTGGAAGTAACTGGCAAGCTGGGAATAAAACACTTATCACGAGACTGCCGACGGCGCTCTCTACTCTCGCAGCCATTTCCAGCTCTGGGAAATGAAAAGGCATCTGAGCTCCTTCCCCTGGCTTCAGTCTCCTGAGGAAGACATGGCTCTGAAAGGCTGAGGGCTGACTGGTGCCAGGCCACACAGCTCACTGGAAGAACAGAGCATGGACATACAGCATGGAGAAACAGGCAGAAGAACATCTTTGCTGGGAAGAAGTGCCCCTTGTCTGACCGAACCGCTCCGGTCTCTGAGGACGAGGTGCTGAAGAGGTGGGCTCTCATTCTCCTTAGTCCTCCGTGATTTTGAGCGGCAGCTGTCCTTTCCTCTGTGGGACGGGGCACTTCCCTGATCAGATCGGAGTCCCATCCAGACGGCTCTGCGGTCGCCAGAGCCAGCCCTGTGAAACCTGATGCTTCACTCACTGGGACACCGGTGAGTTCTCAGCCCCTGGGGAGGCACAGAGACCCGTTCTGAGTGAAGCAGCATGGGTGGAAAGGGCCCGGGAACAACATGTCAGGGGTCAGGCTAGCTCGGGGGAAGAATAAGACATTTCTTCTTAAAAGAGAAACTCCAAGACGACATGATACTATACCTCCACGATCCCAAAAACTCCATCCCCAAACTTTTAGAAATCATAAGTCACTTCGGCAAAATAGCAGGATACAAAATAAACCCACAAAAATCAGTTGCCTTCCTATACACTGATAACGTACAGGAAGAGAGGGAAATAAAGGGAGCAACCCCATTCACAATAACCTCCCCAAAAATAAAATATTTAGGAATTAACCTAACCAAAGATGTAAAAGAACTATTTAATGAGAACTATAAAAAGTTAAAGAAAGAAATTGCAGAAGACACTAGGAAATGGAAAGACCTCCCATGCTCCTGGATAGGCCGACAATATAGTAAAGATGGTAATACTTCCAAAACTAATATACAAATTCAATGCAATTCCTATTAAAATCCCAATGACGTACATCACTGAAATACAGAAAACAGTCCAAAAATTTATATGGAACAACTAAAGACCTAGAATAGCCAAAACAATTCTAGGGGATAAAGACAATATGGGAGGGCTATCCATGCCGAACTTCAAACTCTACTACAGAGCTATAATAACAAAGACAGCATGGTACTGGCACAAAAACAGACCCGAAGACCAATGGAACAGAATAGAAGATCCAGAAATAAATCCACAGGCCTACAGCCAGCTGATATTCGACAAAGGAGCCAAAGACATACAATGGAAGAAACACAGCCTCCTCAACCGCTGGTGCTGGGAAAACTGGGCAGCCACATGCAGAAAACTAAAAGTGGACCCCAGCCTATCACCATGCACCAACATCAACTCAAAATGGATTAAAGACCTTAACATTAAACCTGAATCTCTGAAACTACTGCAGGACAGAGTAGGAGAGACACTTGAACTAATAGGCACAGGAAGGAACTTCCTGAACAGAGTCCCAGGGTCACAACAAGTTGGAGAGAGACTCGACAAATGGGACTA